CTGGTGTGGGCTCCCAGTCAGTCCGCTTGTCTGCTTGCCAGGGGTGTGGTTCTTTCCAGATCGCCGGGTTTGGTTTCCTGGTGATCTGGAGGCCATTCCATCTGTTTCCGTCCCGGGTTTGGACCTGGGCCTTGTTTAGGGCTGTTGGGCCACTTATTGTCTTTCCCTCCAGAAGTGTTACTGCGGCTGTGGTCCCGCCTTCGGCTGTACATGAGGGGGTCCTGGGCTGCTCAGCGGGTGCTTGAGGAGTTTTCCGGGAGTCTGAACTTCGACGTGCTGGTCTGCCCACTGTGTCGGGTTTGGCTTCGGCATCTGTTTGGTTCCTTCGGGGAAACTCCTTCCGCCTCTTGCATTTGTTGGGTTCGTTCCTCCGGGATCTTGTGTTGGTGCTGCGTCTCCAGCTTCCTCTTTGGGGTTTTCGGGGTTCTGTGCCTTGGCACCTCCCCGAGCCTTCGCTCGATGTGTTTACGGACGGGTCATCTCTCGGCTGGGGCTTTGTGACCAGTGCTCACCAGGTCGGTCGAGGATGGTGGAGTCTGTCCGTCCGTCGGGCTCACAGCATGGTTTGGGAGTTTGTGGCTGTCTGGTTTCTGCTTCAGAGGGTTTGGGTCGCTTGGTGCTCTACCATTCAGCTCCGTTCGGACTGTTCTCTGGCGGTTCTTGCCGGAACCACAGGGTTTCTCTTAGGTAATTACCTAAGTGTAATTACCTAAGTGTAGTTACAGGATGAGAGCTACGCTCGTGGTGTCCCGTCTTCCCAGCACTCTTTGTCATATAACGCTTTGAAACTACTGACGGTCTTGGCCTCCACCACCTTCTCACTTAACTTGTTCCAACCGTCTACCACTCTATTTGCGAAGGTGAATTTTCTTATATTTCTTCGGCATCTGTGTTTAGCTAGTTTAAATCTATGACCTCTTGTTCTTGAAATTCCAGGTCTCAGGAAGTCTTCCCTGTCGATTTTATCAATTCCTGTAACTATTTTGTATGTAGTGATCATATCACCTCTTTTTCTTCTGTCTTCTAGTTTTGGCATATTTAATGCTTCTAACCTCTCCTCGTAGCTCTTGCCCTTCAGTTCTGGGAGCCACTTAGTAGCATGTCTTTGCACCTTTTCCAGTTTGTTGATGTGCTTCTTAAGATATGGGCACCACACAACAGCTGCATATTCTAGCTTTGGCCTAACAAAAGTCATGAACAATTTCTTTAGTATATCGCCATCCATGTATTTAAATGCAATTCTGAAGTTAGAAAGCATAGCATAGGCTCCTTGCACAATATTCTTTATGTGGTCCTCAGGTGATAGTTTTCTATCTAGAACCACTCCTAGATCTCTTTCTTTATCAGAATTCTTTAAAGATTTCTCACATAATATATAGGTTGTGTGGGGTCTATGTTCTCCTATTCCACATTCCATAACATGACATTTATTAACATTAAATTCCATTTGCCAAGTGGTGCTCCATATACTTATTTTGTCCAGGTCTTCTTGAAGGGCATGACAATCATCTAAATTTCTTATCCTTCCTATTATCTTAGCATCATCAGCAAACATGTTCATATAATTCTGTATACCAACTGGTAGATCATTTATGTACACAATAAACATCACTGGTGCAAGAACTGAACCCTGTGGTACTCCACTTGTGACATTTCTCCATTCCGATACATTGCCTCTGATTACTGCCCTCATTTTTCTATCAGTCAGAAAATTTTTCATCCATGATAGAAGCTTACCTGTCACCCCTCCAATATTTTCCAGTTTCCAGAACAACCTCTTATGTGGAACTCTGTCGAAAGCCTTTTTTAGGTCCAGATAGATGCAGTCAACCCAGCCATCTCTTTCCTGTAATATCTCTGTGGCCCGATCATAGAAACTGAGTAAATTCGATACACAGGATCTTCCTGATCGAAAACCATACTGTCTGTCTGATATTATATCATTTCTCTCTAGGTGTTCTACCCATTTAGTTTTGATTAGTTTTTCCAATACTTTCACTATTACACTTGTCAATGATACAGGTCTATAATTGAGGGGGTCTTCCCTGCTGCCACTTTTGTAGATTGGAACTATGTTAGCCTGTTTCCACCCGTCTGCTACGATTCCTGTACACAGGGATGCCTGAAAGATCAGGTGAAGTGGAATGCTGAGCTCAGATGCACATTCTCTCAGAACCCATGGTGAAACGCCATCTGGGCCAGCTGCTTTGTTCTTACCGAGCTCCATGAGCATTTTTTCCACTTCGTCTCTAGACACCTCTATGTGTTCTATGTTGTTCTCTGGAATTCTTATTGTATCTGGTTCCCTAAAGATTTCATTTTGTACAAACACACTTTGGAACTTTTCATTTAGTGTTTCACACATTTCCTTTTCATCTTCCGTGAATCTATTTCCCATTTTCAACCTCTGAATATTATCCTTTACCTGCAATTTGTTGTTTATGAATTTATAGAATAGACCTGGTTCTGTTTTACATTTGTCCGCAATCCCTTTTTCAAAATTTCTTTCTGCCTCTCTCCTCACTGCCGTGTAGTTGTTTCTCGCATCTTTGTATCGCTGGTATGTTTGGGGGTTCGGCCTCTTCCTGTATTGATTCCATTTTTGTGTCTTTCGGTCTCTAGCCCTCTCGCAATTTCTATTGAACCAATCCTGTTTCCTAGTTCTGCATCTCTGTTTTGGTATAAATTTTTTTGAGGTGTTGACCTTTGGGGTTGGTTCTGTAGTGGCTCATTTGCTGGATTCTCAGGGTTTGGCTAACAGTAAGGTTCATGTCCAGGGTGTGTCCTGCGTCTTGGCGGACAGCTGTCTCGGTTCATTCCTCTGTTCGCGGATTGGCCAGTCGTTGCCGACTCATTTTGTTGGCTCAGTCGGACGTATGGACTCCTGGCCATGGGCGTCTTTGAGTCGGCGTGGTCTAGGCGTCGCCCATTTGATGTGGCGCCCTTACCCACCTGCGAGGGTAAGGAACAAGGGGTACCTGTTCCTCTCCTCCCGGTCCAGCTGTTGCTTCGGGTTCTGGCTCAATTGCAGTCCATTCCCACGAAAGCAGTCCTTATGGTTCCTTGGTGGCCGGCCCAGCCTTATTTTCAGACGCTGCTTGATAGGTGTTCGAACCCGGGGCGTTTTCCCGCGGCTTCACCTCTTTCGGTCGGTCGAATCGGTCCTACACATGACTGGTTTGGCCTTCTCCTCAGCTCTTCGCGTCTGGTATTTTGACACGGGTATCACCATCTCTGTGGTGTTCAGGTGGCTTTGTTGACGGTGTCCCACCTGCGAGCATCGTCTTGGCAACAGTATGACGTTTCGTACGCTTTCTCGTGTTTTGTTTCACCTCCGGCCTGCTCATGCGTCTCCTGAGCCGTCCTGGTCCTTGATCAGGGTGCCTTCTTATCTTCTCCTCAGTTTGTGGTAGCCCCTTCGGTTCAGGTTTCTGCTCTTTGGTACTGGTGGTAGATTTGTACGTTTGCAGCCTTTCTCCGTCCTGACGACGGTCGAGACGGCTGCTTTCTGGAGAGGTTCTTGGGTTATTGATGCTTGATTGGTTTGGCCGGGGGTGCGTCCTGTGTTGTCCAGTTGTGCTTTTTGCCGTTGCCTGCGTACCATGTCTGGGGATGCGCTGTGGTTGATCCGGTTTCCCTCGTTCCCTGTTTTCAGGGCTCGGGTCTCTCAGGACGTCCTCAGACTTTTTCATTCTTCCAGGCTGCGGTCTGTCTTTGCGCTCGTGCTGTTCAGATGTTTGCAGCTTTTGCTACTGTGTTGGTGACGTCTAGGGCTCATTTCGGGCGCAGGGATTTGAGGGTCGCACAGGTTCTTGGCCGCCCATTCTTTATGCGCGTCTGCTCCTGTGTGTTATTGTTGCCTTGGGTCGCAGGTTGCAACCTGTTGTCTCGGCTTCGCGTTGCGGAGTTTGTGGCGGCTGCCTCCCGGGTTAGCCCTTTCTTTTCCTTCTCTTTGGGTATGAAGCTCCAGGGAGCCGTAGGGGCTCCCCACAGAAAACCAGCGTTGAATGTAATGAAACACCATTTTCTGGGTGAGCCCCGGAGGCTCCCTGGCAACCCTCCCTCCCACCAGTCGGCGTTTTTTTCACATTGGTTGAAGCATTGCTTCTGAACTGAAGCTTAGCAGCCGGCGCGGTAGGTCCAGGGCTTCCCCCTCCCCCTCTCGGGGCGGGGAGGGCTGCGCGGACGATCGGCGCGGCAGTAAAGTGTGATGTTTGCTTGTTTGCTTGTTTCCTTGTGATTGTAGGGAGTTTCTACCTCTCTGTTCGGTTTTTTGTTTTAGTTTTTTACCATGTGGGGTTTGTTTTGTTATGCCTACCTTTCTGGGTGCCTGACCCCGGTCGATGGCAGATAAGGAAAACCCCAACCACAAAGGGGTTTTCCAGGGCCATTGCTCCCTGAAACCTCTCTGAAGGGGCCAGGTTCTGGCGCTGGTCCCTGGTAGGTCTGAACTCCTTAGCTAATGTCCCGGTCTAATATAACATACATTTGCCCGATAAGCTACAGGGAGCCTCCGGGGCTCACCCAGAAAATGGGGTTTCATTACATTCAAAGCTTGCTTTTTGATGCAGTCTGTTTGAATCTCTGATTGGCCAAATATATATTGGTGCTCATTGAATCATTGGTTAATCATTGGTGCTCAGATTCAATGTAAATACAAAACCTGTGAAATGATTAGCAACCTCATGGGTTATATCTGTAACCTCGTACTGTAAACAAATTAATTAATAAATGTACTGTAATAGTTTTATCATGATGAGCAATAGAAGCCGTGTGGATGAATTATCAGTAATGAACATCTTATAGATTATGACTTAAATGTAATATATGCGAAGAACAATTGTTTGTTCTCATATCCAACAATTGTTAAATTTTTGGATATTTATACAGAAGAATAATTAAAGCTAAAATTTATTTAGTTTTGGATATGTATGGCTGTAGTATTTGTTTATATAATTTCATAAGAAAATTATATTTATGGTCTTTCATGCACATCTCAGAATGTTGCAGCCAATCACAGAGGAAACGATGTACTTGTACGTGAAGGTGCGCCACAGTCTTTGCAAGCTCGCTTTATGTATGGACCTCTGGATATGGTGGGGTTGTCAGGTATGACAAATATTTTTTTATACATAAGAATTCAATCATTATTATTTAGATTTACTCATAATTCTCAACCTTCAAATTCATTATCATCATTATCAATCATTCTTTGGAAAGGTGATGAATATTTTCTGTGTTGGACTGAAAGTCTGAGTATGGTATTGAAATAGTTAAAAGGTAATGTATAAGTGTGAAAATTTGTTACATGTAATCTAAGTATAGGTGGTGACATTTCTTTACATAGAAATTAACCCTTGAACTGTGCACCACAGCTGGAACATTGGTGTCTAATTTTCCACAAAAAGTTTCCGCAAACTCCGCACCACAGCTTAGGCTGTATTAGGGTACAGTGTAAGATTTAAAAATTCAAATACACGGAGAAATCACACTTATGTGATATATATAAATGAGAAAATCAACTAGAGCTCTGAGGTGACTCGAACCTGAGAGACTCTCAGCGACTGACACCAATTGCTGGATCACCCTACCTAACTGTTGACAATTTCAGTGATCAGTGTCCCTGTGGCGCTGTCTCTGAGCAGGCCTCCTCGGTGCTGGTTTGATCAACCAGGCTGTTCGATGTGACTGCTTGCAGCCTGTCTTATGAGTCACAGCAAGCCTAATCAGGTATCCTTTGAAGGTGCTTGATGTTGTTATTCTCTTTGGAACACTGTGAGAAGTCGACCAGTTATGTCCTGAATGTGTAAGGGAAGGGTGTTGAAAAGGCTTTGGGCCTTTGATGTTGTTCGAGCTCTCTTTTGGCATCTCTATTTCACCTCCGCTTTTCAATGGGGGAGGAGGCTATATTGTACATCCTGCCATGCCTTCTGGTTTCAAGTGATGTTATTTCTGTGCAGACTTGGAACCAGAAAGTTTGGTTTGAATTTCATTTGGAACTAATATTTTCCAACTGTAAATTACAGATTTAAAGTGGTCCCAATAATTTTGATGTTTTTCTGGAGGAAGCTCCTACAGCTCCCAGGCGTCCGAGAATTTGCGAGAACCTGCAAGACACTAGGAAGCACCATGTGGTTTTGCTCGTTAATAGAGGTGAAGCTCGTCAATAGAGACAAATTTGCTGCGAGTGGCTCACTTGTTACTCGAAATGCTCGTAGATAGAGCTGCTCGTTAATCGAGGTGCCACTGTACTTGGTTGTTAAACAATTTTTCACGGGGTCATATTCCAGGGAACATATTATTAAGGACTTGCCCAAAACGCTACGCGTACTAGTGCTTGTACAAGAATGTGAGAACTCTTGTATATATATAAATAAATAAAAATAAAAATATAAATAAATGATAATATGTAGGTGCAGGCAGCTTATCATATGTAGGTGCAGGCAGCTTCAGCGTTGCATGCTTGGTTCCGGTTGCTGCAATGCGATAGATTGGTTGCTTCCCTGAATGTCCCGAGACTGCCCCGCTTTTGCTATAGGGACCCTGACTTGAGGGTGTTAGTCACCTCGGCTTTGGTTCTGTCCACACCCCCTAGTCCTTCCCGTTTTGTTGTGCGTCCTATTCCTTTCCCTTGCTTCCGGCCCCAAAGCATCTAAGGGTTTCGGAGTCGGGGTTTCAGAGTTGATGTTGAGACTCGGGCAGTTTCGGGGGAGTCCCTTTCTGGGGTGGTGGCAGAGGCATTCGAGCCAAGTCCTCCTGCCGAAGCTTATGGGTCTGACCAGTGGGCCCCCCCTTTGTCCCTGCTTTTTTGGCGGCTCCTGCTTTTTCTTTAGAGGCAGGTAGTTTGGAGGACAGCTCAGCCTGAGTCCTCTGGATGAGGTTCCCGGGTCAGGGGAGGGGTTAACTTGGGGGCCTTGGGCCCCGTTGGATCCCACTTTGGTTTTTGTACCCTCGGAACAGGAGCATGGTGTTACAAAGAGTGGGGTTTTCTTATTTTCCCTCCTCATACGAATTGGATTTGGTATCTACCCCTCCCAGTTCAGTTCCTTGATCTCGTGAGTTCGTCTGTTCCCTCCTGGAGGTTTTCGTCTTCCCACATCTTGCCCCATGTGGTGTGGGAGGCCACTGCAACTTACCTCCTGCGCGACCTGGATTATGCCTTCATAATGGATCCGACTTCTTTCGTGTATGGATCATCGTGTCCTTACTGGGTTTGTTATGAGGTTCCGGAGTCTTCCTGGTTGGCAGACAGCCCTATCTTCTCGTTGGAGGCTTGGCATGTGTTCTGTCGGTCCCGCACACTTGAGTGGCGGGAAGCTTATGCAGTGTTGCAGGTTTTCTTGGGGGGAGATTTTGAGCATCTTAATACATGTTTGTTCACCCTTGCCCTTCCGCGGGAAGTTGGTGTGATGCAGCTTCACGTGCAGGTTCCTTCCCTCTCGGCTGCATTGGTTGCGGAGGACTTGAGCGTGCGTGGCCTATTGGCTTCGGACCTTGTGTTTCTTTTCTTTGCTCAAGCTGTCCTCGGATAGGCTTGAGAAGGACATAGAGGCGCTTGGCGAGGCCTCCGAGTCTGGTGTGTTACCCTCGGTGGTGCGTGCGTCGTCTGCATTGTTGAAGCTGTTCGCGCCGATCCTAAGGGATATGGTTTCTCTGTTTTTTGCTTCCCGTCTCGCGAGTCGGCAGGCGATGCCTGCTGCTTCTTTGGAATCTGCTTGGGCCCAGGCTCTAAATTTGTCTTCGCCCTTTTGTTTTTTGCTGTTAGCAGAGTCTATGGTTGTGCAAAGCAGGCAGCTTCGTCTAGTTGTCATCCTATGTCAGACTTGTTGGTTCTCCAGGGGGATTGTGGGGGCCTTCCCGAAGGGATCGTGCCAGGGCTCAGGGTTCCTTTTATCGTGGTGGGACAGTGGTGCCAGATTTGTGCCGGCGCAGTTTTCGGAACCGTCTTTTTCTGTTCGGTGCGGTGATCGATCTGTACGCTGCTCTTGTACTCGTAAGAAGTGTCGGCCCTTTCGCAGACAGATGATAGGGGAGGAGCTCTCCCTGTTTGCTCATGTCTGGACCTATGATTTGTGGGTCTTTTTGGTCGTTTCGTGCAGCCTGCAGTGGTGTTGGGTGGTCCCTCCTTTTTTGGGGGGATCGGGGTTGGCGGGCAGGCCTCTTCGCCTGCACTCTGTCGAGTCATCTTAGAGTGGGTTTGTTTAGGGGTGGTCAAAACGACCTCGTACCTCTGGTGGGTTTATCGCCTGTTTCCGGTTCCGAAACGGACTGTATGGACCTCGGGTTCATTCTGGACTCGTCCCATCTGAACCCGTGGGTTTATTGCCCCTCCTTTCGGATGACTACTCAATCCCAGGTCCATCTTCTGTTGGAGCTGGGCACTTGGATGGTGTCCTTGGGTCTCAAGGACACGTATTGGCATGTCCCGATTCATCCGGGGTTTAGGGACTTACTCGTTGTTGTTGTGGGGCGTCATGGTTACCGCTTTCGTTGCCTTCCATTCGGTTTGAATCTGGCACCTCGTGTTTTCACACGCCTTACCTGGGTGGCCCGTCTGCATCTTTTAGGTGTTCGGGCTCTGGCCTACCTCAAGGACTGGCTGGTTTGGGCTCCCAGCCAGTCCGCGAGCCTGCTCGCCAGGGATCTGGTTCTTTCCTAGCTTGCTGGGTTTGGGTTCCTGGTGAACTGGCAGAAGTTCCATCTGGATCCTCTCAGGTTTGGTCTTGGCAGGGACACTCGGACCATTTTTCTGTCTCTCCCTCCAGAGGCTCTGCTTCGGCTATGTTCCCACCTTCGCCTGTTTTTGAGGAGCTCCGGGTCACGTGGCGGTTGCTCGAGAGTTTGTGCGGGATCCTAAGCTTTGTCATGATAGTTTACCCGCCGGGTTGGGTTTGGCTTCATTGCCTGTTCTGGTTCCTTCGGTCACATCCCTTCCATCTCTCTCGCGATCGCCGAGTTCAGCATCTGGGGGCTTTGTGTCGGTTGCTGCATCGGCATCTTCCGGTATACTTGGCGTTCTTTCCTGACTGCGAGGCCTTCAGGATTGATGCCTTTAGGCAGGACTGGGCGAGATGGGGTTAACTGTACCTTTTCCATCTGGCTCAGCTGTGGCTCCAGGTCCTGGCTCGCTTGGAGACTTACCAGGGAAGTGTTGTGCTTCTGGCTCCTTGGTGGCCGACCCAACCTTGGTTTCAGGTGCAGCTTGCTTGGTGTCCGAACCGAAGGGTCTTCCCGCGGATTAGTCTCTTTCAACAGATTGGTTTAGCCCAGTACATCGTGGTCATTCACAGTCTCCGTGGTGTAGTGGTAAGACACTCGCCTGGCGTTCCGCGAGCGCTGTCATGGGTTCGTATCCTGGCCAGGGAGGATTTACTGGGCGCAAATCCTTAACTGTAGCCTCTGTTTAACGCAACAGTAAAATGTGTACTTGGATAAAAAAACTATTCTTCGCGGCGGGGATCGTATTCCAGGGACCTGCCCGAAACGCTACGCGTACTAGTGGCTGTACAAGAATGTAACAACTCTTGTATATATCTCAAAAAAAAAAAAAAAAAAATACATGGCTGATTCACTCTTCTCCTCGAGTCTTTGCATCTGGTCTTTTTGACTCAAGTCTATCATCACTTGTATGGTGGGCAGGTGGCTTCATTGATGGTTTCCCACCTGCGTGCTTTGTCTCGGTGGCAGTATGAATTTTTCTGGTGGTCCTTCCATTATTTCCTATCTCTGTGTAGGTGCACTTCAGTCTCTGATAGGGTTGTCTTGTCCTTCATTTCATGGATGTTTCAGGACCGTAATCTTATTTCGAATACTGTCACCTCATATCGTATGGTGCTGCTGCAGCTTGTGTTCAGTTTTTATGTTACTTCTGCTCCATTCTACAAGCTGTCTCATGCATTGTTTAACCTCTGGTCTGCTCATGTGCTGCCTGAGTTGTCCTGGTTGTTGGACTGGGTGCTCTCTTTTCTCTCTTCTCCTCGGTTTGTTTTGGTCCCTTTAGTTCAATATTGTGTTCCCAAGGCTCTTTTTCCAATTGGCATTGGCCTCTGGGGGTCGAATCACGGATCTTCATGCTCTCCTCCAGCGCAGGGGTTTCTGCTCATTTGGTCCTAGTGTAGGTTTGTTCATTTGCAGCCATTTCCTTCTTTTCTGGCAAAGAATGAGTCTGCTGCTTTTCAGAGGGGTCATTGGGTTGCTAATGCTTGGTTGATCAGGCCGGGGGTGCACCATGTGTTGTGTCCGGTTGCAGCTCTCCGCCGTTACCTGCATGCCACTGCTACGGTGGCCGGAGACGCGCTTTGGATTGACCCGGTTTCCCTTCTCAGTTCCAGGGCATGGGTCTTCCAGGTCGTTCACAGGGTTATCAGGTATAGCCAGCCTGCAGTTTATCCTCATGCCCATGATTTCGTAAGTTAGCTGCTTTGGCTGCTGTCTTCGGTAACATGTCTTGGGTTGACATTCGGGCACAGAGTTTTTGCAGGTCGAACAGGGTCCTGGCCGCTCGCTACCTTGTCAGTGTTCCAGGGCCTCATTGGGCCTGAGTCGCATTGGGTCAGCGGTTGCAGCCAGTTGTCTCAACTTTGAGTTGAGAAGTGAGGGCTGACCACCTCCCAGGTAAGTTCCCATTTTTGTTTTTGTCTTTGGGCAGTTAGCTCCAGGGAGCTGATGGGGCTCCGGCCAGAAAACCAACATTAAATTTAATGAAAAGCCATTTTCTGGATGAGACCTGGAGGCTTCCTCAGCAACCCTTCCTCCCTTCAGTCCCTCCCTTTCAGGTTTTTGACATCCAGCTTTAAGAACTGAAGGGTGGGTAGCCAGCATTAAGGTCTGGGGCTTCCCCCTTTCCCCCTCCTAGGGATGGGGGGAGTTGAGCAGACAGTGGCGTGGCATCGTGGTGACGTCATACTATCTTGTGTGTGTTCATTTGGGGAGTTCTGTCCACTTTTTCAGCTGTTTTTAGCAATGTTTTCACCAGAATAGGGGTTTCTTTTAGGGCGCTTACTTTCTGGGTGCCTGACCCAGATGATGGCAAACATAGAATGCTTCCAACCACATGGGGGTTTCTATAGGCCATTACTCCTCGTGCCTCTGAGTGGGCTAGATTCTGGCTTGTGGTCCCCAGTAGGCCTAGAACTCCATACACATTGACTGATGCCAAAGTCTAATATATCCATATCAGCCTGGATAGATCCGGGAAGCCTCCTGGTCTCACCCAGAAAAGGGCGTTTCATTACATTCATTGCTGGTTTTTTGTGTACTGAACCGACTGTATCTGAAACAGTTATAGACGATTTGACCAGTCCCCCTTGCGTCTTTGGGATGAGACCAGGAGGTGCTTCATCTTTTGGTGGGTGGTGGATTCTGCCGCTCTCTATATGGATCTACCTCGATGGCTGCCTAATGGGTTGATCCAGTCTCCTGGGTTCAAGAGACACAGAATTCACATTCATTGAACTGATGGAGATGTGGCCTGCCTCCTCCTCCTCTCAAACAAGGGGGGAGGTTGGGAGCAAATGAACGGGTGGTAGGTTATAACATTTTTGGTAATCTATGTACATAGTTTGAGAGTTTTGTGGCATTTTTCAAGTTTACAGGTATCGAAAGCAATCATCTGTGGTAGTGTTTTGTCTTGCTGATTTTTTAGGTGCTTCACTTCTTGGTGACATAAATAATAGAATATATAAATGCCACAGCTCCCTGCAACTTTATAAGGGGGCCAGGTTCTGGCTCTGGTCCCCAGTAGGCCATACAAGGATCCTATGGCTGATGTGACTCATTATGGCGTTCTCGTTCAGTAGAACGAGAACGCCATAATGATGAAGAACAGCAATCTCGTTCAGAGCTATCTGAATGAGATTGCTACAGGGAGCCACCATTTGGCTCCTTCAGAATACATGGTAAGTTGACATATCTACAACCAGTTGTTTTGGTGAACCGAGGGAAAACTTGGTAACATACCAAGAATTGTCTTGATTGCAAATTCTCTCTACCTGATCAAGGGTTCAATTTAATTGCAATCTATTCTATCAAGGCCCCACTGTACGATTAAGTAAATTTGATGCTCAAATACTCTTTGGTAATCCATTTTATTTTATTCCTCTAGGTGAGAAGGTTGATATACACATCATGCGTGACCCTCCAGGTGGTGACTGGCAACAGATAAGCACAGAAGTAACTGACAAGAATGGGCGCATTGCCTTTACTATTCCTCCAGATAAAGCTCTTAGTTGTGGCATGTATCCTGTCAAGATGGTTGTGCGGTTAGTATGAATTTTAATTATTTGTAGATTTTAATAATAAAAAACTATTGTTGTTTGTAGATTTTAATAATAAAAAACTATTGTTATTTGTAGATTTTAATAATAAAACTATTTAAATCAATATTAAACTGGAATAGTTTGGACGAAGTGGTTTCATAAATAATGAATTTGCCAGAGTAAAGTGAATTAAACTCTTTTGTATACAAATAGCTCAGGAACGATGGTTGTGCAGATATAGATACCACATTTGCACTACAGTACTGTACCTAAGATATTTCTGGAGGGAGCTCCTTCGGCTCTCCGGAGCTATCGGGGCTGATATAAATATATAAGACCCTGGCATCAGTCAAGCGAATGGAGTTCTAGGCTTAGCGGGGACCACGAGCCAGAACTTGGCCCCCTCAGACAGGCATTAGGTGCAATGGCCTATAGAAACCTCCATGTGGTTGGAAGCATTCTGTGTCTGCCAACGATTGGGTCAGGCACCCAGAAAGGTAGGCACCCCAAAACAAACCCTGTCTGGTTAAAAAATTGCTTCCAAAAGCCGAACTATTTGACAGAACTCTCCAAACGAATAATAAGCATACGAGCATGACAATCGTCATTGAGCTTTCATCTGCGCAGCTCCTCCCGCCCCAGGAGGGGGAAGGTTGAGCCCCAGACCCCCCTCCTCCATGCCAGCTATCCACCCTTCAGTTCTGTGGCAGATGTGAGACCTTGGCAGATGTGACCTTGGCAGATGTGAGACCTAGGGAGCCGGTCGGCCGAGAGGACAGCACGCTGGACTTGTGATCCTGTGGTCCTGGGTTCGATCCCAGGCGCTAGCGAGAAACAATGGGCAGAGTTTCTTTCACCCTATGCCCCTGTTACCTAGCAGTAAAATAGGTACCTGGATGTTAGTCAGCTGTCACGGGCTGCTTCCTGGGGGTGGAGGCCTGGTCGAGGACCGGGCCGCGGGGACACTCAAAAAGCCCCGAAATCATCTCAAGATAGCCTTGGCAGTCGTGCGACTCTGGCTGCAGATTTGTCTCAGTTCTGTACCTTGTGGTGTGTGATCCTGTCAATTGGGGGTGTGTGAGCCAAGAGTAATTTTACCTGTACTCAGGCTGCATGCACTTAGGGTTCTCTTCCCTAGGTGCCTGTAAGTACTGCTCTTGTGGCTTGGGGTTATCTTCCATAAGTTACTTGGGATCTACCTCCGCCTTGGTCTTTTGCTGCTTGGTGATTGCCCGCCCTTGGAGTCTTGGAGTCAGCTGGGGTGTTTCATACGACACTGTTTGCCTCTGGATTGGCGGTAGCTTTGTCACTGGTAAGGGCGCAAGGTACTGTGCAGCTAGTTTTCACCCTTTAACAGTGGCCGGCTCTGTTCTGCCTGTGACATTGTACTCGTGTGGGGTGTTTCTTTTATGTTTGTTTCTGCCTGGTGGAGGGTCTGCACTTGGTGTGTTGACCCTTCTCTCATTGTATTCTTGGTGGTCTAACGTTAGGTCCCCTGCATATGTACACGTCGTGGGGGTTCAGGACTTAATAGTTTGCTCAGTAGTTTGGAGTGCCGGTTAGCAGTACCTTGCCTGGGCTTCCCTTAAGTGCCTCTTAGAGCCCCTGGAAAACCTCACTGGGGCTCAGTGGACTGATGGAAGCGTCCCCTGGGTCCCATTTTGCCTCGTGCAAGTTTGAAGGTTGCTCTGTCCCCTTGTCTCAGGGTGACAATCACCAGTTATGCCTCCGTCATGCTGCTTGTTGGGTCAGTGACACCATCGATTTGGAGTGTTGCAAATGATGTTGCTTGCATGTATTTTAGTTCACCCTGTCTACAGATCTTGGTTTTCGGGTGCAGGCAGCTTCGGCGTTGCATGCATGTTTTAGGTTGCTGCAGCATGCGAGGATAGTTGCTCAATTGGATGCCCCGAGTCTGCCCCGTTTTGGTTATAGGGACCCGGACTTGGGGGTGTTAGTTGCCTCAACTGTGGTTTCATTCACATCCACTAGTCCTTTTCCTGCTGTTTGTTTGTTCTTTTCCCCTCCACCCCCCCCCCCCCCACCCCTGCTGCTTCTGGCTCTGAAACGTCTGAGGGTTTCAGAGTCGGGGCAGGGTTTAGTTGGTGATGAGACTCGGACAGTTTCAGGGAATACTCTTTCTGGTGTGATGACGGAGGCATTTGAGCCCGTTCATCCAGTCAGTGCTTAAGGGGTCTGACCTTTGGGCCCCCTTCATTCCAGCTTTTCTGTTGAGGTGGGGGGGGGGGTGGTTTGGAGGACGGCTCGGCTCTGGGTCCTGATGTGGAGGCTCCCGACATGGGGGAGGGGCTGACTTGGGGGCTTGGGCTCTGTTTGACCCTGCATGGGGCCCCATTTGACCCTGCTTCGGTTTTGGTACACTTTGAGCGGGTCTTGTTGCTGCAGTGAGTGGGATTTTCTTATTCCCCCTCCATGTACGAATTTGATATGGTGTCAATCTTTCACCGGGTTTGGTTCCAGGATCATTTGGGTACTTCCATTCCTTTCTTCCAGAGGTTTTCGGTCTCCCACCTCATGAGGGTGCTTGAGGCCATTTTTGGCTTACCTCCTGCGGGATCCGGATTACGCCTCGATAATGGATCCTGCCTTTATTGAGTTCAGTTTTTCTTTTCCTTACTGGATGCATTATGTGGTTCCATCGTCGGAGGCATGGCATTCGTTCTGTTAGTGCTACAGACTTGAGTAGCGAGAAGCCCTTTTGGTGGTACAGATTTGCCAGGGGGGGGCAAGTTTGAACGCCTCAATGCGTGTTTGTTCGCCCCAGCACCTCCGCGGGATGTCGGCCAGGTACAGCTTCAAGTGCAGGTTCCCTTCCTTTCGGCTGCCCTGGTTGCTGGGGACTTGCCTGTCCGTGGCCATTTGGCTTTGGTCTTGCTTTTCTTTTTCACTCTCGAGCTGTCTTCGGACTGGCTTGCGGAGGACGTGGAGATGCTTAAGGTTGATCCTGGGTCTGGTGCTCTGGTCTCAGCGGTGTGGGCTTAGGCTGCCCTATTGAAGCTGTTTGCACCAGTCCTGCAAGAGGCAGTGTCTGTTCTTTCTTTCTTTCTCACCTCACGTGCTGGCAAGCAGGGCTCGCTCAATCTGTGGAATCCATTTGAGCCCTGGCTCTTTGTTTTCTATGCCTTTTTGTCCTTTGTTGTTTGCAGAGTCTGCGGTGGTTCAGTATCTGCAGGAGGCTTCTTCAAGATGTCGTTCCATGTCCGAACTGTTGGTTCTCCTGGGGGCTGGTGGTGGCGTCTTCCTCAAGGGGTCGTGACAGGGCTTGGGGTTCCTCCTGTCATGATAGGCCAGTCATGCCAGTTTCAGAGCTGGCAATGCCTTCATAACTGACGATGACTGTGTCGGCGCGGTGATTGTTCTGCTCATAGGTTGGCTAGGTGTAAGGGGTGTCAGTCCGTTCACAATTTATCCCATTGATGAGGCAATGGGGTGAGGCTCGCGCTGTTTACCCATGCCTGCTCCCACAATTTGTGAGCATTTAGGGTCATTTCTTATGGCTTGCAGTGGCATTGGGTGGCCCCTCCCCCTTCAGTGGGTTCGGGGCTGGCGGGGCGGGCCTTTCCTGCGCTGTCGGGTCATCTTGAAGTGGGTTCGCCTAGGCGTGGTTGAAACATCCTCATCCCTCAGGTGGGTTTCCCCCGTTTCCAGTTCTGACATGGAACTGCGCAGACTTGCATTCTGGACTTGTCGCATTTGAACCTCTGAGACTATTACCCCTCCTTTCAGATGACTGCTTTGTCCCAGGTCTGTCTTCTCTTGGAGCCGGGCACTTGGATGGTGTCCCTGAACCTCCAGGACGTGTATTGGCACGTCCCACTTCATCCAGGGTTCAGGGACTGGCTAGGTTTTGTTGTTGGGTGTCAGGCTTACCGCTTTCATTGCCTTCCATTCAGCTTGAATCTGGCACCTCGTATTTTCACAAGTCTTTCCCGAGTCATGGTGGCCCGTTTGCCTCTGTTAGGGGTTTGGGTTCAGGCCTACCTCGATGACTGGCTGGTGTGGGCTCCCAGCCAGTCCGCATGTCTACTCGCCAGAGATTTCCTTTCTTTCTCAGCCTGCCGGGTTCGGGTTCCTGGTGAACTGGAGAACGCCCCATCTGGGTCCCCTCTCGGGCTCGATCTTGTTTGGATCCTGTTTGGGACTCTCAGACCGCTTCCTTGTCTCTCCCTCTGGCGGCTCTACTGCGGCTGCGGTCTCACTTCCACCTGTTTCTGGGGACTCCTGGTTCATAAGGCGGTTGCACGAGGGTTTGTACGTGAGTTTGAAATTTGCCATGATGGTCAACTTGCTGGGTCAAGTTTGGCTTTGTCAGCTGTTCTGGTTCCTTCAGGGACATTCCTTCCGCTTCTCTCGCGACCGCTGTGTTCGGCTTCCAGGTACCTTACGTTGACTGCTGCATTACCGGCTTCCTTTTCGGAGTTTTCGGGGTTCAGTGCTTTGGTGCCTACCCGAGCCCCTCGCTCGATGTGTTCACTGAAGCGTCATCTCTTGGCTGGGGCTTTGTGCCCAGTGCTCACCAGGCTGGCCAGGGGCAGTGGGGTCTGTCCTTCTGTCGGGTTTACAGCACAGTGCATTAGTTCGTAGCGGTGTGGCAGGCGCTTCAGAGGGTTCGGGTCATTTGAGGTTCGACGATCCAGTTCCATTTGGACTGCTCCCCGGTGGTTCATTATCTGCACCGCGGGGGTTCGATGCAGTCCTCGGTTGTTTTGGGGTGGTCACTCTGGGTGACTTGTCTGCTGAGTTCTCAGGGTTTAGATCTCCTAGCAGTTCACGTTCAGGGGGGTGTCCATCTTGCTGGCGGATGGTCTGTCTCGGTTCATTCCCCTGTCCACAGAATGGACTGTCAATGCTGGCTTGTTCAGTAAAAGTTGTCGTATTGTTCAGTACTTATTCAGTAAAAGTGCTCGTATGTCCGGCTCTGCCGGACATACGAGCTCCCAGAGGGGGACCACTTTTTGTCGGCGTAGTCGAGGCATCTCCCGTTATATGTGGTGCCTTGGTGGCTGGCCAAGCCTTGGTTTCGGGTACTGCTTGCTCGATGTCCGAAACCGAGGGTCTTCCCGCGCTCCGCCTCTTTCAGTGGATCGGGCCAGTCCGTTATGTAGCTAGTTCGATCTTATGAAGTCTTCAAGTTTGGTCTTCCAACATGGGGTCTATCACTATTTATATGGTGAGCAGGTGCCTTCGTTGATGATGTTCTAGCTGCGTGTCTCACCTTGGCGGCAATGCGGCAATATGAAGTTTCCTGGTGGTCCTGTCATTATTTCTTGTCTTTTCGTAGGTTTTCTTGTTTTGGATCGGGTTGTCTTGTCCTTTCTGTCTTGGTTGTTTCAGGACCATCATCTTATGCCGAATATTTTTTTCCTCGTGTTGTGTGGCGCTGGTGGAGCGGCTTTAGCTTGCGTTCGGTATGGACTTTACTTCTGCCCCGTTCCGCAAGCTGTCTCTTGCATTGTTTCACCTCCAGCCTTCTTATGCGCTGAATGAGCTGTTTTGGTCATTGGACTGGGTGCTCTTTTTTTCTTTCTTCTCCTCGGTTTGTTGTGGTCCTTTTGGTTGAAGATTGTTTTGCGAAGGCTCTTTTTCTGTTGGCATGTGCCTCTGGGTGTTGGGTTGAATAGTTTCATGTTCTCTTCCAGCGCAGAGGTTTCTGCTCTTCTGATCCTGGTGGTAGGTTTGTTCGGTTGTGGCTATTTCCTTCTTTTCTGGCGAAGAATGAGACTGCTGCATTTTGAAGGGATCCTTGGGTCGTTGATGCTTGGTTTGTTCGGCTTGGGGTACATCATGTGTTGTGTCCGGTTGTGACTCTTCGTCATTACCTGTGCACCACAGTCTTGGTGGTCGGGTTTGGTGATTCCCGGCTTGCCAGGTTTGGGATTCCTGTTTTCCAGGCTTACCCTGCCACTCGGCATTTTCCGGATCTTGGGTGTCACTTCTCAAGAATCTCGCATCGGGCCCACAGTGTCTCCGATCTTCTGGCGAGCTCGCTTGCATTGGGAAGTTTGGGTTCCAGCTCTGCTTGCTCGGTGGTTGCACCCGAGCAACCACCGAGCAAGATGGTTCCCGCTACTCTGCCTCTAACTGTACTGGATGGGTCCATGGCGGGGTGGGCTCGGTTCTGCCTTGAGTATCTCGCCACCTGTTGGTGGTCAGGTGGCTTCGTTGATGGTGTCCCACCTGCGTGCTTCGTCTTAGCGGCGGTGTGTGGTTTTCTTTGGCGGTCCTTCCTTTTTGTTTGTCCCTTCGTCGGTTTGCTGTGTTTTCTTGGCATGGTCTGGTCCTTCTCTTGTGGAGGTTTGGGGCCGTCATCTTGCCAAATCCTGTTGCCTTGTCTCGTGCGGTGCTGGCGGAGCCACTCCGGGTTGCTTCGATTTTGGAAGTTGCCTCGGCACCGCTTCGTGAGCAGTCTCTGGCATGGTTCACCTCCAGCCTGCTCTTGCGCCGCTTGAGCCATCCTGGTTCTTGGATTGCATGCTCTTTTCTCTTCTCCACGATTTGTTGTGGCCCCTTCGGTTCAGAGTTGTTTTCCAAGGCTCTTTTCTTGTTGGAGTTGGCTTCTGGGGGTTGGGTTAGTTTGTTTCATGCCCTCCTCCGGTGACTGGATTTCGGCTCTTGGTTCTCATGATAGGTTTGTTTGAGTGAGGCAGTCTCCTTCTTTTCTCTGCCTCCCGGTTTAGGTCCCTCTTGTTTTTATCTTCGGGTAGTTAGCTCCGGGGAGCTGACGGGGCACCCCCCAGAAAACCAGCATCGAGTGTAATGAAACTCCATTTTCTGGGCGAGACCCGGAGGCTCCCCTGCATCCCTCTCTCCCTCTGGTCGGCATTTTTTTTTGCGTGTTTTAACATACAGCCTCCGAACTGCGCAGCTCCCTCCTCTCCCCCTTTAGGGGAGAGGGGAGCTGCTCAGACAGCAGGGGTGGCGACGTGTGACGTCATGCTCCTTTGCTCGTTTCTTTTAGAGGAGTTGTATCCACTTGTTCGGCTTCAGGTAGCAAAATTTTCACCAGATAGGAGTTTGTTTTGGGATGCTTATCTTTCTGGGTGCCTGACCCGTTCAATGGCAGACATAGAATGCTTCCAACCATATGGTGATTTCTATAGGCCATTGCTCCCCCATGCCTCTGAGGGGGCCAGGTTCTGGCTCGTGGTCCCCAGTAGGCCCCACAGAACTCCATACACATGACTGATGCCAAAGTCTGACATTAACATATCAGCCTAGTAAGCTCCGGGAAGCCTCCGGGTCTCACCCAGAAAATGGCATTTCATTACATTCAACGCTGATTTTTTGCAGGGGTGACCACACTAGTGCTACTCATTACCTGACTGTTGTACCGCCCAATACTGAATGTGTGGTGTTTAGTATTGACGGATCTTTCACGGCATCTGTTTCGGTTACTGGGCGAGATCCAAAAGTGCGAGCTGGAGCTGTGGATGTTGTTAGGTAAGTTGTACTAAGATTTGATTTTTAACTTGTTTTTCAAGTACCATATGTACTACTATAGAAGTTTAACTACAAATATTACAGCAGAGGAAGTTATAACTATAAATAATGTTATTTTTAAGATGTGTTGGCATGAATTAGTAAGTATGGTTTAGCTACATGTAATATATTACAGTGGTACCTCGGAATACGAGTGTCCCTGAATGCGAGTTTTTCGGAATACGAGCAGGATTTGCTCGGAAAATGTGCCTCGAAAGGCGGGGGTTACCTCAAAACACGAGTTTGTTGATACGTGTACAGGCCAACTAGCGCTTGGCACGACGATCGCGCCTCAGTTTACCAGTGTCTCGTGTCCAGTGACTATCCCACCTGAATTCTTCACAAGGATTTACAGTTTTTTGTCGTTTTTTTGGCCATTTGAGCATAAAAGTTGTCATTATATATCTCACCATAGGTCTCAAGAAAGCCATTGGTAAGGTTCAACCTAAGAAAATAGCTGTGAGTAGAGGCAGTAGAGAATGTCCCTTCTTGATTAAGAAAATGTGTGAAGTATGGGAAGAACTGCAAAGTTTTGTTGAAAAAACTCACCCAGATAAAGCTGTAGCAGGCCGTTGCATTGACCTTTTAAATGACAATGTGATGTCTTAATACAGACAAGTGTTAAAATGTAGGGAAAAACAAGTGTCTTTAGACAGATTCTTAGTAAAACAAGCAAGTCCTAGTGGTATGCAGGCAAAATGTGCCAGAGTGTGCATACCAGTGAAGTCCTCACTGCCTGATGTTATAATGGAAGGAGACTCCCCTTCCAAACAGTAACACCTCTCATCCTCACATCTTCCATAAACCAACAGCAGTCCTCAACAAGGGTAAGTAATAACTTGAACATAGTTTTGTAGGTTTATTTAGATGAATTAGGTATAAAAATTTAGTTTGATGTGGGGTTTTTGGGGTAGTCAGGAACGGATTAATTCATTTCCCATTATTTCTTATGGGGAAATTAGCTTCGGAATACGAGCTGTCTCCAGGAACGGATTAAACTCTTAAACCGAGGTACCCCTGTATTAGTAGAATATGCATCCTCAGAAGAGAATGAAAGGAAGACACAGCTACCTTACCTTGTGGCTACCTTTTTGTAGCTTCCGGGGATGAACGGCCCTGCGGCCCAGTCTTTGACCAGGCCTCCTGGTTGGGCGTCTGGTCAACCTGGCTGTTGGACACAGCTACTCGCAGCCTGATGTATGACTCACAGCCTGGTTCATCAGGTATTATTTGGAATACTATTATATAATAGTATTATAATACAGTATCTATTATAATAATAGCAATTATAATAATAGCTATTATAATAATAATAATAGCAATTATATAAAAATGGAATAATTCATAAAGTAAAAATTTAACCACTGTGCTTTGCCACTATTGCTCAAGAAAATTGAAAATTATTGAAAAAATGCTCAAGGAGCTCGGTAAGAACAAAGCAGCTGGCTCAGATGGCGTTTCACCATGGGTTCTGAGAAAATGTGCATCTGAACTCAGCATTCCACTTCACCTGATCTTTCAGGCATCCCTGTGTACAGGAATTGTAGCAGACGTGTGGAAACAGGCTAACATAGTTCCAATCTACAAAAGTGGCAGCAGGGAAGACCCCCTCAATTATAGACCTGTATCATTGACAAGTGTAATAGTGAAAGTATTGGAAAAACTAATCAAAACTAAATGGGTAGAACACCCAGAGAGAAATGATATAATATCAGACAGACAGTATGGTTTTCGATCTGGAAGATCCTGTGTATCGAATTTACTCAGTTTCTATGATTGAACCACAGAGATTTTACAGGAAAGAGATGGTTGGGTTGACTGCATCTATCTGGACCTAAAAAAGGCTTTCGACAGAGTTCCACATAAGAGGTTGTTCTGGAAACTGGAAAATATTGGAGGGGTGACAGGTAAGCTTCTATCATGGATGAAAAATTTTCTGACATAGAAAAATGAGGGCAGTAATCAGAGGCAATGTATCGGAATGGAGAAATGTCACAAGTGGAGTACCACAGGATTCAGTTCTTGCACCAGTGATGTTTATTGTGTACATAAATGATCTACCAGTTGGTATACAGAATTATATGAACATGTTTGCTGATGATGCTAAGATAATAGGAAGGATAAGAAATTTAGATGATTGTCATGCCCTTCAAGAAGACCTGGACAAAATAAGTAGATGGAGCACCACTTGGCAAATGGAATTTAATGTTAATAAATGTCATGTTATGGAATGTGGAATAGGAGAACATAGACCCCACACAACCTATATATTATGTGAGAAATCTTTAAAGAATTCTGATAAAGAAAGAGATCTAGGGGTGGTTCTAGATAGAAAACTATCACCTGAGGACCACATAAAGAATATTGTGCAAGGAGCCTATGCTATGCTTTCTAACTTCAGAATTGCATTTAAATACATAGATGGCGATATACTAAAGAAATTGTTCATGACTTTTGTTAGGCCAAAGCTAGAATATGCAGCTGTTGTGTGGTGCCCATATCTTAAGAAGCACATCAACAAACTGGAAAAGGTGCAAAGACATGCTACTAAGTGGCTCCCAGAACTGAAGGGTAAGAGCTACGAGGAGAGGTTAGAAGCATTAAACATGCCAAAACTAGAAGACAGAAGAAAAAGAGGTGATATGATCACTACATACAAAATAGTAACAGGAATTGATAAAATCGACAGGGAAGATTTCCTGAGACCTGGCACTTCAAGAACAAGAGGTCATAGATTTAAACTAGCTAAACACAGATGCCGAAGAAATATAAGAAAATTCACCTTCGCAAATTGAGTGGTAGACGGTTGGAACAAGTTAAGTGAGAAGGTGGTGGAGGCCAAGACCGTCAGTAGTTTCAAAGCGTTATATGACAGAGTGCTGGGAAGACGGGACACCACGAGCGTAGCTCTCATCCTGTAACTACACTTAGCTAATTACACTTAGGTAATTACTATATATATGACAATTCCTCTGTGTACAGAAAAAAATGATTCCAAAACTATTTTTCTGTGGAGAGCCCCTTCTGCTCCTCGGAGCTATACCAGACTGATGTGTATATATTAGACCGTGCCAACAGTCAATCGAAGGAGTTCTAGGCCTACTGGGGACCGGAGCCAGAACCTGGACCCCTCGAGAGGCACGAGGAGCAATGGCCTAAAGACACCCCATATAATTGGAAGCAGTCTTTGTCTGCCATCTACCAGGTCAGGCACCCAGAAAGGTAGGAATTCCAAAACAAACTACTGCTGGTCAAATAAATTGCAAACCGAAAGCCGAACTAGCAACTCCCCAATCAAAACCAAGGAAACAAGTGTGACGTCACCACAAACACTGCACATATGTCTGCACAACCCCCCTCTCCCCGTGAGGGGGACAGGGGGGGGGGGGTCCCAGACCTCCACGCCGGCAACTCTCCTCAGTTCACAGACTATTGTGAGGGCGAACGGTTGATTGACTCTCTCTCCATCCTTTGAGCAGTGCTGCAGTGCGGTGTTATTGTTCAGTTTTGGTATCGTGCGAGCCAGGAGTAACACAAGAGTACTGGGGCTGCATGCACCTAGGGCCACCTTCCCTAGGTGCCCTGTAAGTACTGCCACTGTGGCTTCAGGGTTATCTTCCCTGAGCCGTTCAGGAGCAACTACCTCCGTGTGGTTCTGTTGCTGCTCGGTGATTGCCCGCCCTTGGGGGTTCAGCTGGGAAGGTTTTTACTCCTGTTTTCTCTTGGGTAGGAGGTAGTTTCATTGCTGGCTGGGGGCGCAAGGTACTGTGCAGCTGTCTGATATACGCATAGTGACTGGTTCTGTTCACCTGGAAACGTTGTGCTTTTGCGAGGTTTTCTTTTATTTTTGTTTTGTTTTGCCTGGCAGGGGTCTGCCTGGTGTGGTAGTAGGACCACTTGTAGGATTTTGGTGGCCCTCCACTAGGTCCTTGTGTTTGCACACGTCACAGGGGTTCAGCTTATAGTTTGTTTGCTTGATAGCTCTGGGATAACTGGTTAGTAGTACCTCGCCTGGGCTTCCCTTAGCAGTCAGCCCAAGGGCCCTGGCAACCCCCCTTGGGGACTCAGTGGTCCGATGGAAGGGAACTTAGTCATACCTCACCTTGTGCGAGTTTGAAGGTTGCTCTGTCCCCTTGTCTCAGGGTGACACTCACCGTTTTTGTCTCCGTCATGCTGCTTGTTGGGTCAATGACACCTTTGACCTGGAGTCCTGCAAGTGGCGTTCTTTGCTTGTACTCCAATTCACCCAGTCCAATGAGATTGATATTCGGGTGCAAGCAGCTTCGGTGTTGCATGCACGGTTTAGGTTGCTGCAACGCACAAGGTTGGTTGCCTTTCTAAATGCCCTGAGCAGCCCCACTTTGGTTATAGGGACCCGGACTTGGGGGTGTTAGTCGCCTCGACTTTGGTTTCATCTGCACCCCCTAGTCCTTCCCCTGCTGTGGTTCATCCTGCTTCCCCCCCCCCCCCCCCCCCCCCCCCCCCCCCCCCCCCCCCCCCCCCCCCCCCACCTCCTGCTCCCGGCTCTCAAACGTTTGAGGGTTTCAGAGTTGGGGCAGGGTTTGCCTGGTGGCGAGTCTTGGGCGGCTTCGGGGAATGCCCCTTTCGGATCGGCGGTGGAGGCATTCGAGCCTGTTCCTCCTGCTGGAGCCCTTGGGTCGTGCCAGCGGGCCCTCTTCATCCCAGCTTTTCCGGCAGACTCTGCCTTTTCTCCAGAGGCAGAGGGTTTGGAGGACAGCTCGGCCCTGGGTCCTGAAGTGGAGATTCCCAGGGCTGGGGAGGAGTTGACTTGGGGTATTTGTGCCCCATTTGACTCCGCTTGGGTGTTGGTACCCTCGGGGCTTGTTGTTACAGGGGGAGGGGTTTTCCTATCCCCCCACTCCCTGTATGAGTTTGAAATTTGTGCGACTCCTCCCCAGGTTCTATTCCTGGTTCCCTTGGGTTCCTCGGTTCCCTCCTTC